TGAGACCCCAACTCAAAAAAAAAAAAAAAAAATGGCTCAGCCTGTAATCCCGCGCCTTTGGGAGGCTGAGGTGAGTAGATTGCCTGAGCCTTCAGGTTCGAGGCCTGCCTGGGCAACTTGGCGAGACCTCATCTCTACAATAAATCAAAAAATTAGCCGGGCATGGTAGCGCTCGCCTGTAGTTCCAGTTACCTGGAAGGCTGAGGTGGAAGGATTGCCGGAGCCCAACAGGTCGAGGCTGCGGTGGCCAGGAGCGTGCCACTGCCCTCCAGCCTGGGCGACAGAGTGAGACTCCAACTCAAAAACAAAAACAAAAACAAACAAACAAAAAAGATGGCCAGGCTTGGTGGCTTAGCCTGTAATCCCAGCACTTTGGGAGGCTGAGGCAAGTGGATTGCCTGAGGCTGTGGGCTTGAGACCAGCCTGGACAACTTGGTGAGATCTCGTCTCTGCAATCAATCAAAAATTAGCTGGGTGTGGTAGAGCATGCCTGTAGTTCTGGCTATTTGGAAGGCTGAGGCAGAAGGAGCCCAGCAGATCGACGCTGGGGTGGACGTGAGCGTGCCGCTGTACTCCATCCTGGGTGATGGAGTGAGACTCCAACTCAAAAAAAAAAAAAAAAAGATGAACACGAGCAACTGTTGGTGAAGAGACGTGAATAAATGGAACTCTCATTCTGATGGAAATGGAAAATGGTGCAACCACTTTGGAAGAAGTTTGGCAGTTCCTCAAAAGGTTAAACACGTAATTACCTTATCACCCAGCAACTCTACCCCTAGGTACACACCCAAGAGAAATTAAAACATATGTCCGTCCACACAAAAACTTGCACACAAATTTTCATAGCAGCAATATCCTTAATAGGAAAAAACACCTCAAATGTCTATTAGCCAATGAATGGATAAACACAATGTGGTATATCCATACAATGGAATACTATTCAGCCACAAAAAGGAATGAGGTACTGATACATGCTAAAACATGGATGAACTTTGAAAACATGCTAAGTGAAGGAGGCCAGTCCAAAGGGCTACATATTATATAATTCCATTCAAATAAAAGGTGAAAAATGGTAAGTCTATAGAGACAAAGTTGATTAGTAGTTGCCTGTAGCCCAGGGCAGGTGGGGTGGGATGGGGAAGCATAGGAAAGACTATGGCTAAGTGGAACAGGGGTTTTTTTGGGGGGGGTTGATAAAAGTGTTCTAAAATTGAATGTGGTGATGACTTCACAATTCTGTGAATATAAGATTGAATTGTACATTTTAAATAGATAAAATACATGGTATAAAGCTGTTAAAGAATGAAGTGGATGAACTGGGGGAGAATTTTTGGCAGTATAGCTGACAGATTTTACTGATTAAGTTATTAAATTTAAAGACACTTAGAAAACACCTTAACTTGGCCCGGTTCGGTGGGTGGCTCAGCCTGCAATCCCAGCACTTTGGGAGGCCAAGACGAGTAGATTGCCTGAGCCTGTGGGTTTGAGACCAGCCCAGGCAACTCGGTGAGACCTCGTCTCTACAATAAATAAAAAATTAGCCGAGCTCGGTGGCTTAGCCTGTAATCACGCGCCTTTGGGAGGCTGAGGTGAGTGGATTGCCTGAGTCTGCGGGTTCGAGACCTGCCTGGGCAGCGAGACCTCATCTCTACAATAAATCAAAAAACTACCCAGGCGTGGTAGCGCGCGCCTGTAGTTCCAGCTACTCGGAAGGCTGAGGCGGAAGGATCGCCAGAGCCCAGCAGGTCGAGACTGCAGTGGCTGGGAGCGGCCACTGCACTCCAGTCTGGGGACAGAGTGAGATTCCAACTCAAAAAAATAAATAAATAAATTAGCCGGGCGTGGTAGCGCACGCCTGCAGTTCTGGCTACTTGGAAGGCTGAGGCAGAAGGATTGCCAGAGACCAGCAGGTGGATGCTGGGGTTGCCATGAATGTGCCACTGCACTCCAGTCTGGGTGACAGAGACTCAAAAAAAGAAAACACCTTTACTCTATTAGGCTCAAGAACTAAAACTTAATGACAAAAGCAGTAGAAATGCTTCATTTGTTTTCTCAAATGTACACATGTATTTCCTGAGAAGGTGGGTCAAACACAGCTTCATAACATGATTGTTTCCCTCCTCTCTGCACAATTAAAATTTTCATCTAAAGCAGTTACAACTCCATTATATTTGCCTGGTTAAAATAAACAAATGTTTCTGCTTTAAGAAAAAAGAAAATCCCAAATTCCTAAGTTTATTTTAAAAAAACCTTCTTGTTATTTATAAAATTGTTTGTGTTTCTCCTGGCAGGGATTGGGAATGGCTTACTAGCCCAAGACTTGAGTGGTTTCTTCTTCATTTGCATTTTGTAAATAAACAGGGTAAGGAATATATTCAGAAAAAGGAAAGCAAACCAAATCACATCAGATTAGGTCTGCAATGATCACGCAAGAAAGGCTACTTTTGAATAATATACCAATATGGCTCCACTTGGAATGAAACCACATTTTCCACCAAGCACTAGCAATTTCTGACCTAGGTAAAGCAGACTTAAATGCAGTTTGCATGATTCCCTATAGTTCAGGATCCTGAATGATAATATTAATAGGCCAACATTTGTGTCTTACTATATCCCTGGCTCTGTTCTAAACACTTTACATATATTCACTCACTGAGTCCTCACAACCCCATGTAGTGGGTACTCTTTTGCCATTTCATAGATGAGGACTCGCGGCTGTCACGGGTTAAGTGACTTGCTTATGGCCGCAGAGCTAGTGAACGGCAGAGCTGGGATCCGAATCTGGGTGCCGCTGTACCTCCTCAGTTCTCTTTGTCCACTTACCCTGCACTGCTGTTCATATTCATTTCTCATCTGTGTCAGCCTCTCTTCTTGCAGGAAGAATTCAGCACTGCTGGGATCGAGGTCACCGAACTAGAAGGGGAAAAGGGCAAAGCTGTCATTTTTTCCCGAGCGCCCTTCTTTGACCTTTAACATGGCAAAGGCCCTGGTTTCTAGTGTTTACCCAGTCTCTTGAGTATGAAAGGAATGTGACATTTAAACAGAAGCACCAGCAGCTGGATGACAGGGAGACCATACTAGAGTGATGTGTTCAAGCAAAACAGGGATCATTTTTCAGTGCCAAGCAATGTTTTCCTTCATAACCAACCTGGTACATGATATCCCCGCAAAAACTACAACTCCTTTTAGCCACCCAAACAATTCCCTAATAAAAATGTTCTTGGGGCATTGTTTCCACTCTTTTGAGTAAACTACACTTTGGGCTGCCTATCGGGAAATCAGATTTAAACACGCTTACCTTTTCTGCTAACACATTTTCCAAATTTCGCTGAAGTTTGTTTGTCAGATTCTCATACTCTGCCAACTTCTCTGCATTTTCCAGAAGCTCGTTTTCCAGACGACTGTTTTCCTAAGAAGTTTGGGGGAATTAAATGTAGCACGGATTAAGGAACGAGCAAACTGATGTACCATTTTATATACAGCATAAATCGGTACGCCAGAAAAATGTGTCTATCTTGAAAGCTGTAGTAGATTGGAAGTGACAAAAGTAAACATAAAAATGTTAATATCCATCTTACAACAAAGCACTGGCCCTTTTATTTTTGAGCCTGTTGGATATGGTAACCGCTAGCAACCACATGAAGATACAAAGTCCTTGACATACGTCTGGTATAGTCTGAGATGTGCCCTCAGTTTAAAATACACATCAGATTCCAAATAGCACAAAAACATAAAATAGCTCAGTAGTAATTTTTGTATACTGATTACATGTCAAAAGAACAATGTCCTGGAGATATTGGATTAAACATGGTTTAAGATTAAGTTTGCCCATTTCTTTTTACTTTTTTTTTTCGAGTCGGAGTCTCACTCTGTCGCCCAGACTGGAGTGCAGCCTCGACCTGCTGAGCTCCGGCGATCCTTCCGCCTCAGCCTTCCAAGTATCCGGAATTACAGGCACGCACTACCACGCCCGGCTGATTTTTTGATTAATTGTAGAGATGAGGTCTCGCTGCCCAGGCGGGTCTCGAACCTGCAGGCTCAGGCAATCCACTCACCTCAGCCTCCCAAAGGCGTGGGATTACAGGCTGAGCCACCGAGCCCAGCTTCTTTTTACTTTTTAATGTGGTTATTGCAAGTTTGAAATTACATATGTGGCTTGCATTCTATATCTATTAGACAGCACTACAGTAGAATATTTAATGACATGAAAATATTCTCAGTATGTAGTGTTGCCAAATGAAAGAAAACTGGTTATAAAATACCTGTTCAGCTGTCTGAAAAAGAGAATTCAGAAAAAGTAGAATAAGTCTACAATCAATTTACTGATATTATAATTTGGTTTATATTTAATTTATACATTCATTTTGGTTTAAAGACGTAAAATCTACACATAAGTTGCTTATCATTTGCTTATGTTTAAATTATTATAATAAAAATAAATCTATAAAAGGTTATTTTTTTCATTTAAAAAGATCTGTATATATAGTTTTTTAAAAGAAAGATTTCCGCCCACATTTGTTAAAACCCACAGACATGCCATTTGACAAATTTTCTTCTCCAGTGTTAAAGGCTGATTGGCAGAATGCTATTTCAAAGTACATTTTGCCAAAAGAATACAGAGCCAGCACATTTTTAATATATTCTAGTTCACACCCTCATTTAGCAACATAAAGTAAAAAAGAATGTACTTGAGACATTTAAAAAATACTACCTTTCCCTAAAAGGCCAATTCTATAATACGAATCTTTCAAAATATATCTAAGTTTAGAGGTTAAAACAAGAAGGGGTCATTTCTGAATATCAGGCACTGTGTGGGTGCTCTAGAAACTGACAGATCAGATATGATTACTGACCTCAGGGAGGAAAACAGATGTGGATACAGCTATGCATGACCCAGTAGGAAATGGGCTGTCCTCTGACAAGAAAAAGTAATGAGAATCCAAAAGCACCCTAGCCTGCAGCGTTGGGGAAATCAGTGAAAGAGCATAAAAGTGCCTGACCCTCCAGGGAACCAGGAGAACTAATGGCGGGAGTGGGGTGGGGGGGGTGGGGGGGGAGGCAGGTATGGCACTGGGAGTTGCTAGCAGGAGCTGATGTCTGAAGAGTATGAGGAAAAGCTCCTTCTAGGGACCTTGACTGAGGGTCGCATGGAGGTAGGAGCAATGGAAGAAAGAACGATTCAGGCTGCACAGGAACCTGCTGGAAAATCTTAATGAATTCTGAACCCATCTGAGGCGGGAAGTGCAGGGCAGGGGATATATCGGAGAGGCATTTCAGAGCCTCAGCACGGCTTAGAGACTGATGAGTGAGTGATAAGGGAGAACTGGGCTCTTAGCTGCTGGGACTTACAGCACATGGTGATGATGCTGATTAGGGAAAAATTGGGGGATGAAGTGGTTGAATGCTTCGGGAGCGATAATTAGCTCAGCTTTTGATGTGTGAAGCTTCAGAAACGTTTCCTAATAGCAACAATAGCAACCCTGTTCATAAGTACCTGTTAACTTTCCAGACACCGTCTATGCATCATCTCATGGAGTCCCCACATCCATCCTATAGGGCAGGTATTATTAAGGTGCCTATTTTGTACATTAAGAAACAGGCTAAGACACCCGATCAAAGTTTTCCAGGAAGTGGCAGTACCCAGATCTGAACCCTTCAGCCCAACTCCAGAGCCCCTATACCATATTACTTGGTGGGAAAGACTAGCAAAAAGAAGGATCATTCTCCCACCGAAGTGCAGGAAAAGAGGGGAGGATGCATGGGAGAAACGGTACATTTGGAGGCAGAGAGAAACAGGCATACCCCTGTGTGGCAGGAGGCCAGGCCGTGTGGTGAAAATATGGGGGCAGACAGGCAGAAAGAAGAGGATCTGAGGACAAGGGACAGGATAGGAGAAGCAGCTGAGAGAACCTGGGTGTCAGCCAAATAGCTCTGAGGGCCCAGTGTGCCTTCAGGGGCAAAGAAGAACAAGATACACTCATCTACACCATCAGCAAACCAGAAACCTGGACACCCCTGAAATCCAGATGCTAGGAGGGCCATGCCATGGCTGGGCCATGATCCCGCAGCACAAACTTATGGGAATTCTTGACCTGAACCCTGTGCAGACCTGCCCTCTTACAAAGCTGTAGCCCTTCATGTGGTGTCCCCAGCAGGGAAACAGACTGCAGAGCTAATAAGATGGTTACCTTTAAAGAGAGAGTGAGGCGGTCCCGGATATAGTTCTCTTCTGTTTTGGCCTTTTCAATTTCCTGCTCAAGTTCTAAGCGCTGCTTGCCCACCTGCTGCAGGATCTGCTCTCTCTCTTTTCGGAGTTCATTCTTTAAGGCTGCTATTCGCTCCTTGTACTCTTCATCCAGTTTCCTGTGAGGAAGAAAAACCGACAAGCTGCTGACACAGTCCTCTATATTGATCGATATTGGTCCCTATATCAATCCACCAAAAATGGAAACAGAGTCACAGAGCGGAAAAGCACCCTGAGAAAATGTCTAGGGTATCCTGATTTCCCTTAGGGCTTGGCCACCCTAAATCACTCCATCCCGGTGAGGCCAAACAGGTGGGACAGCAGAGCCCCCCAGGCTCTTTTCTGGCCCTGCAGCAGCAGATGCCATGTCCCTGGATCCCACTGGTAGAAGAGGAGGGACCTCGCCCTCCTGGTCACACCTGAGGTTGTACTCATTCCGGCGCTCTATGGCTGCATGGTGGTCATCCACCTCAGAGGCCATTAGGGACTTGAGCTTCTCAGCCTTGTCTAGATCTGATCGTAGCTTCTCCTTTTCTCTGACCACTTGATCAACTCGTTCTCTAGAATCAGAAATAAACTGGGTTAATAGGAAACTGTTTCTAAGCAACAAGTAGGCCCAAAAAAGCTCCCATTTGGCTTGCTTCAATACAAAAACGAAACCAAGACAACCAGAATCCTCCCCAAACAAAAAGGCATTCCACAGTTCCTATCAAAAGCCTAAATGTCCATCTAAGTTCTCCCTCATTTCTGACGGTTTATGGAAGATTTGTGCAGAAGTTAGGTGATAGAAGATTATTCATATTTGCCCGTGGGTTGGAAGAGTGTTTTTCAAAGGCATCGGAATGACATTGGTCAAGTAGAGAAGGGACGGACCGGAGCAGGCAATCCTTTGCTCAACTCACAGCAAATGTCGGATTTCAGCCTTAAAACTGGCCAGAGCTGCTTGGTGAATGCCATTCTTGGTGACCAAAAGTTCATTTTCAAGAGCGAGTGTCAATTCTGTCAAGTTGATGTTTCCATCAAGGCTAAAATCCAAGGCCTAGAAATCAGAACAAGGCACAAATTCAAGACAAATCACTGGTTCTATCCTCTAACAGCAGAAAATGTGACGGTTATACAAACTCAGAGAACTGAACACAATCTAGAGCAATCTCCAGTCTAGAACATAACTAAGTTCTCTCTAAGGAAAGCATAACATGATCATTTGCATGGTTTTAAAAAAATGATCTGGCATTATAAATAAACACAATGGAATAACTCTAATCTTTACCAACCAGAGATCAACTAAAAGCATTTCTCTTGTCGATAATTTTGGGGTTAGAAATATGGAAAGTACTGAGCAACAGGCTTCGGTTAAAGGGAATAAGGAAAGTGACTTATCTCTGAGATCTGGTGAACAGAAGTATCAAACCAATGAGTTTCAAAAAAAAAAAAAGGCAGAACATTTTCATAGAACCCTTCCCCAGTGGGTCACTTTTCTCCCATTTTAGCTGCCACACCTTCAGGACCTCCTGACTGTTCTCAATGCCCTCTTCCTGCCAGGCATCGAGTATTCTCTCCACAGATGCGTGGCCCATCCCATCATCCAGGCAGGAGAAGACCCGAAAGCCAATGGTGCTCGTCATTGCCAGTGGGGTGGTGGTTCGTCGTCCACTCTCATCAAAAGACTGGAAGAAGAAAGAGACTCGAGTAAGCTTAGCTTAGCCCTGGGCACTTCTGCAAGATGTTGGCCAAGGCCGAAGTTGGTCAATCCTGACCACAACGGGCAGAAGGCATGCTTCTCCACATTACCCTGTAGGAAAAAAAGTCATGCAGCCCCTTTGATCTTAGTTCCTGAGTGAGTCAAGCCCACAAAGCTTATCAAGAACAATTGTTCTGGTAGACAGTACTATGACACAGATGAGATGTGTCCCTGCTTAACACCAGGTTTCTTCTGATCCAGAGCTGACATGAAGAAGCATAATTAGCGGCCTTCCCACTCTGTAATTTATGGTCATTTCCCAAACCCAACCTTTCCTTCCTAGTAGTTTAGTCTTTCTTATTCGACCTCTGCTTCGTTCTCTCTCTCCTTAGTATTTCGCTGCAGACAGCAGATTCATTCGTTAGAAATTATTCAAGTGGGTTCTAACTTTTACTCACCAAGAAAACACTTCCTGCTGCTTTCTTACCTGCATGGACAGGTGCCTTTTTAGTTGTCTATATGGAGTAGAGGCTGATGGTGTAAGGGATTTTCCATTTTTAAACAAACCATAGAAAAAATCTTCTACACTCATTGTACCATCAGGATCAAGATTGTGGAATACTTCCTCAAGCATCTAGAAAAAAAGGAACCACATATTTTAAATACTTCACTCAAAATAATACAAAATAATACAAAACAAAGTACACTTCTGCCCAATAGAAATCAGTACCACTATTGATCCCAGGACTCCAGAAATATAATGACATCCCTTTATTTTCATTTCACTGAATTTATTTCTTTTCCAGTAATGATATATCCTCTCCCTTTCCACAAGCTAAATAAAAATTCCTTTCCAACATTTTCATAATCTTACGCAATTAAGCCAGTTAACTGTGTTCTCTTTAACTCACTCCTACAATAGGCAATCTTTAATGTTGCTACATATCATATTTACAAATGTAAAAATTACCTAAATAATATAAAGATAAAGCTTCCCAGTGTCATAATAATGGAAAGTAGTTGGACATTCCCTATGCCTTTATGCTGTGGTGACTCTAAGTGATATTTTGCTTATATTTAATTTGCCCTGGGACAGATTGCAATGAGCTTAAGAGTTTGGGCCTAAAACCCATAACCTGGGGTTTAGAACCTCACTTGAAATAACACTGTGTGAGTTGAGTTTTTGTTTTAACGCTTCAGCACAGGGGAGACAAAGATGGGGGTGAGAAGGATCTTATGTGTGGGTGCAGTAGAAAGGTTCCAAGAGACATAAAGACAAGGGCATTTTGGCTGACTGTTTTGCACCCTCTGACAGTCATCAAGAAGTCCCCCTATAGAACAGGGGCGAGGGAGGTTGGGCTACAGCCCCCTCCAGAGGTTTGCCTGGGGACAGGAAGGGGAAGAGAGCCACGGGAACCGCTGAAGCCATGGCAAGGGAAGGACAGGCCAAGGCCTTCTGCCAGCACTCAGATTCCTCCTTACTTGGGGGGTTAATTTTTTTCTATAAGAACACACCTCCAATGTACAAAACAGAAACCACTTGGGAGCTTGTCAAAATGCAGTCTCTGATCTATCAAGTCTGGCAGAGGGGCTGATGCTACGTTTCTAACAAGCTCCCAGGTGATGCCCAGGCCACTGAGAGGCAAGGGAATAGAATACGCAATACATTGACTCTTGTTGCATTAGAGTACACAACTGGGTCATTCTGACACAGATCTACATTTTTTGTAACACATTCTCCCAAATTTTAATTTTCATTTCATAGAACTGGACGACTGCTAAGAGTCATATCATCTAATAATTGTTGATTTTATTCTTCATGTAAGTTGCTAGGGGCATTTCATTTATTTCAAATGTTTTTTCTCCTAAGTCACATCCGTAGGAAACAACTGTTTCCATTCTTGCTTTTATACTATTTCCTCTGGAGAGAACTCTGAAACAAGAAAACCTCATAAAGAGTGGAAAGCAACATTGGAAGAAGCAACAGTTTCCTTTTTTTTTTTTTGAGTTGGAGTTTCACTCAGTCGCCCAGACTGGAGTGCAGTGGCCACTCCTAGCCACTGCAGCCTCAACCTGCTGGGCTCCGGCGATCCTTCCAAGTAGCCAGAATCACAGGCATGTGCTACCACGCCCGGCTGATTTTTTTGATTTATTGTAGAGATGAGGTCTCGCCAAGTTGCCCAGGCGTGTCTCGAACCCGCGGGCTCAGGCAATCTACTCACCTCAGCCTCCCAAAGGCGTGGGATTACAGGCTGAGCCACCGAGCCCAGCTCAGCAACAGTTTCTAATAGAGAATCTTGTGACCAAACCAACCAGAAGGTATTCAGGGCAAGATTTTGAGGTTGCCAAGATCTCTTTGCTTTTCTGTCTTGTTCTTATCAACCAAACACTGTCCTGCAGGACAAGATTTTCAGGACCATCAGACTAGAAGTGACAGGAACATCCTGGTGAACTGATTGACGTTAACAAGGTAACAGTTTGGCTCTAACTTTAGATCCACACTGCTCTTCATTGTGGCCTTGGCCCAATCAGTGCGCACCTTCCAGACCACCTAAACACCCATCACCTGATCCGTTCAACGTGGTGGAGCAGGCAAGTCCTGCCAGTTATTTTAGATGGGGGCGTGGGCAAGTGGCGAATCAAAGGGCAGGAAACAACGCAGGTTACATGGGCAACAGGGCACCCCATACACTCTGGGTGGGAGCTGCCTCTAGGACTGTGAGGACGTCCTTTTTTGGTTTTTTCGAGGTGAAGTATCACTCTGTTGCTCAGGCTAGAGTGCAGCAGCATGCTCACGGCTCACCACAGCTTGCCTCCTGGGCTCAGGCGATCTTTCTACCTCAGCCTCTTGAGTAGCAGGGACTATAGGCATGCACCACCACATCCTGCTAATTTTTTTTGGATTTTTTGTGGAGATGAGGTCTCCCACTGTTGCCCAGGCTGGTCTCAAACACCTGGCTCACGCAATCCTCTCACCTCAGCTCACTAAGTGCTGGGATTATAGGCATGAGCCACTGCACTTGGCATTTAGGACATTCTTACTCTCTGGGATGCACAGGCCAGGTCTTTGGAGGGTTGATGTCCCAGTGTGTATGTTGGGAAATAATCACAAACCCAAAGGCCCATGAGGTGGGGTAAATGAAGGAGGCAGGATGTTTTTAGGAAGTCAGAAAGTCGTGAGTGCTGGTAAACTGAACTCAGGAATGCGTGCCCTCTCCAAAGGAGCTAGTTTGCCCTTCCTGCCCTGTGATTGTTCTTGCTTCTAGAAAGCAGAGTACTAAGTCAGGCTCGGTGGCTCAGCCTGTAATCTCGCGCTTTGGGAGGCTGAGGTGAGTGAATTGCCTGAGTCCATGGGTTCAAGACCCGCCTGGGCAACTTGGCGATTCCTCATCTCCACGATAAATAAAAAAAAAAAAATTAGCCAGGCGTGGTAGCGCGTGCCTGTAGTTCCAGCTACTTGGAAGGCTGAGGTGGAAGGATGGCCAGAGCCCTGCAGGTCGAGGCTGCGATGGCCGGGAGCGGCCACTGCACTTCAGTCTGGGCAACGCAGTGAGACTCCAACTCAAAAACAAACAAATAAACAAAAACAAACAAACCAAAAAAAAAAAGCAGAGTGCTAGTTATAGGCAAAAGGTGGTGATGCTAGTTCCCCTTCATGAAACGCCGAGCCACTGTGATCTCACTCTCCTCACCTATAAAGTGAGGGGTGACTAAATCTAAAACTGTTTTCTGTTGTAAAATTTTAGGATTGCAAGTGGCACATCAATGAGATGATCTTGAACTTCTAGCTCCTTTGTGGTTTAGAGTTAGTAGTACTAAGTACTATAGTATTTCAGGGTTTTTCTTTAGGAAGAAAAACACTAAGTAAAAGCTATATTCAATCAGCAATCCTCTACTCATCCTCAGGCCAGAGGAAAATAACCAAATGTGCTACTTCTTTGCCCGGGTTTTGGAAACTCCACCACAAAAGAAAATGCAGCTTCCCACAAATGGCTACAGTTGCATTCCAAGAATTGGTTTCAGATAAACAATCCAAGTTTGCGAAACATTTTTTGGCAAAAACAATCCAAGATTCTGTACACTGCTCTGGTTTATAAGTTAGGAGGATGAATTTAATCTTACGACTCAACTGCCGCCACTGAAAATAAATGACCTCTCAGCCATTAAAAAAGGTAGCCAAAGGGTGGATAATGGTCACATATACAAAGGAGAAGGAAGGAAAAACAAAAATTTTCTGTTAGCTTGGCCGTTTGGAAGTTTTTGATAATAAATCTCTTTCTTATCCAGGAAAATGATACCACTTAGCTCTAGAGCAAGCGGACAGTATGGTTTCAAATGTCTTTATAACCAAAGATTTCCAAAGCTACAACTGTAGCCCTAACCTAACTCTGTCCAATACTTATTTTTCAGCTCTTTGAAAGGCATGACTTCAAATTATTTATATTCTTATGTTTCACAGTTATTTATGCACCTAGTCCTGCCAGTTCCTCTCTTAGTTTTTCAGAAAGCATCAAGTTCAGAGTTTGTCCAATTTAGAGTCTTTTGGGGGCTCATTCAAGATTCTGTATTTTCAAAAACAACCAAGTTACCCCTTTCCATTTCCTCATGACCAGCATATTATGATGACTCCTGGTTGCTCTATCTAACCCAAGGGTCTCTTTGTGTCCATATGGAAAAGCAGCTTAACCCATCGTTGGCGAATACGTTTTCCCTAGATGCTGCTCAATCTGCTTAAGAACCAAGGGTGATATTGAGATCTTTCCCCCCAAAAGCCAAAATGTATACCGGGCTTCAAAATATTCCTCCAGCTCAATTTTTCCCCCACACTATCTCCACGTTTTACTCCGTGAAGGACACCTTTACAAATGTGTCTGACATCATGGCTGCCCTGAGCTAATGTCTGATAGTTTCACACGGGGTAAGATGCTTAGCACAGAGAGCTGCAGTATCTCAGTAAGTGTCAGCTATCGTCAGATTTTCTTGTCTATAACACAACATGAGCCCTCAATGACAGAATAATTTCCTAGGAAAAAAGAAAATGTTGTCTAACAAGCGGCAGGAAGCTAGGATATGGCTAATCCTAGCCTCTGGCCATTCATGTTCCTTTTTTTTTTATCATCATCATTCATATTCCTTTTTAATTTTTTAAATTTTTGTGTTTTTGAGTTGGAGTCTCACTCTGTCGCCCAGGCTGCAGCACGGTGGCATGATCATGACGATCACGGTTCATGGCAGGCTCAACCTCTTGAGTTCAGGCTATCCTTCCACCCCAGCATCCCAAGTAGCTGGAACTATAGGCATGTACCACTAGGCACGGCTCATTTTTAATTTTTTAATTTTTGTAGAGACAAGGTCTTGCTGTGTTGCCCAGGCTGGTTTCAAACCCCTGGGCTCAAACAATCTCCTGGGATGACAGGTGTGAGCCACCACACCAGGCCATCATTCTTTTTTTGATTAGGAGTCTCACTCTATTGCCCAGGCAGGAGTGCAGTGGCTGGGCATAGTCGACCCCTCTGCCTCAGCCTTTCAAGTAGCTGGAACTACAGGGGCATGTCATCACACCCAGCTAATTTTTCATGATTTATTGTAGAGACAAGGTCTTGCCATGTTGCTCAGGTTGATCTCAAACCCCAGGGCTCAGGCAATCCTCTTCCCTCCCCTCCCAAAGTGCTGGGATGACAGGTGTGAGCCACCAGACCACGCCATCATTCTTATTGCTGAATAAATTATACCGCAGGGCTTACCTCTCCATCGACATTCTGCAAACCATACTGCTCGCAGATGGACACCAGCTTCTTTCGGTTCAGGTGACCATCACGGGTGATCCCCAGATCTTCACAAACTTCTTGCAGTTTCTCTTCTATCCAGTCTTGGGGAGGGGAAGACCCGTTCTGGGAGGCATTCAAATCATCCGGGTTCCAAAACCTTGACTGGCCTGAGATAAAAAGCATAGATTGTGTTGTCTCCAAAGGAATTGCAAAGAAAGGATGCCTGTTCTCAAAGATCAATGTGCTTCTTGAAAACAAATGGAAAAAAAAAAAATACACGTTGATTTCATTTTGATTTGGCCCTGAAGCTCCAATGAAATGAAACGACTGATTCTTAGGCAGCGGCTAGTGCAAAGAGCCATGGTTTTTTTTGCTTCTGTTTTTTTGTTTTTGCTCACCGGCAGTCCTACCTAAGTAAGAAATACCACCTTCTGGGCAATAGCGCAAAGTTTTAGGCTTATCTTATCCCAACTGAGATCATCACAAGCTCAGTGTGTAGTATAATCAGAAGACTGGTGAGAGCCAGAGATGGCCATACAACCTGCCTCGACCACTGCAACCAGACTACCTCCACTCTCTTTCTAGTCTAGGCACTTGAGCATCTTTTACTGAGAAAGAAATGATTTCATGAAAAAAGTTTCAAGCTAGGCCAGTTCCAAATCTTTACACAGGAATATTTTGACACCCAGAAACCAATAGTCCGGCTTGAAAGAATACCTGGTTGTAAGCTACAAGCTCCTAATTATGAATCTATTAAGGATGAGTTCTATGTGAAGACTTAAGGATCATACTGCTTATTTAAATACCCAAACTGTTTATTTGTGCCAGTAAAATTGTGGAAGCACCACTCAGTGCTACTGCTACTATTTATGAACAAGAATTAAGCCCACTGCCACCATGTTTTTCCAGGTTGGAGATGTAGAGAACAGGTCGACATTACACTTGAGCACAGTTAACCCAGACTAGGCGTGAAGTGGGCGAAGGGTCTGTCTACTGACCCACAGTGCCATCTGGTGGTCAGGGGAGCAACGTGTTCTGATTTTTTTCATTTTTTCATTTTTTTTTTTATTTTAAAGATGTGGGGTACAATTAGGGTTAGGTATACAAAATGGTCACTGTACAGGTAAAGTTGGGGCCTCACTTTGGTCCCCACTTCATCTGGTTTGAGATCAGGTACCCTTACTGATAAGGTGTGCACCCTTCCCCCATCCCCTGGCAGTATCCCACTACTGCCAATCCCTTTCTTATAGTATAATAATTGTTCAGGGTCCACTTATGAGTGAGAACATGTGGTACTCAGTTCTTTTTTCCTAGGATAGATCACTGAGTATGACAGACTCTAGGTCCATCCAAGTTGCTGCAAAGTTCATAATTTTGTCCTTCTTTATGGTTGCGTAATATTCTACTGGGTATAAGTACCACATTTTTTTTTATCCAGTCTACTTTCAATAGGCAGCATGGCTGGTTCCATGTTTTTGCCATTGTGAATAGTGGCTGCAATACACATGTGTGTGTAGATATCTTTTTCATAGAGAGATTTGAGTTCCTCTGGGTAAATTCCCAGAAGGAGGATTGAAGGGTCATAGGAAAGGTCAATTTTTAGATCTTTTAGGAATTGCCACACTGTTTTCCACAGAGGTTGTACTAGTTTACACTCCTACCAACAGTGTTGAAGCATTCCCTTCCCCCCCACGCACCCCCCCCCCCCCACTGGCATCCTCTCCAGCACCTGCTGTTTTTTGAGTTACTGATGATGGCCATTCTGACTGCAGCCAGGAGTCATCTCAGTGTAGTTTTAATCTGCATTTCTTTGATGATTAATGAGGCTGAGCATTTTTTTAATGTATCTGTTGGGTGCTCTTGTCAAGAGATGACTGTAATAGGTCACTATTTAGTTTAGGACTGTTTGAAAATCAATTTGAAAGTCTGTATAAGAGAGTAACTAGCCCATCACTAGAACTGCCCATCCTGGCTGTCATCTCTTGCATGACATTAAATGCTAGGATGTTGAAACTAAGAGATATCCAGTGGGAGTGAATTTGTTGTTGCTGTTGTTCTTAATGTTGATTCCCAGCTGGCCTCCAGCCTAAGAGATGCAGCAAGGTGGGGTGTGAGAGTGCCCTGTGAATGGCAGCCCTTCCCTCCCGACACACACCCAGCTCTTCTTACCTTCCGCTTCATACTCCTCGCTGCCTTGCGTCTTCCAGTGCTAGTGAAGAAGGCAAGAGAAGATTAGTGTGCTTTAGAACGTATTTAGAAAGAACTATCCTAGCTTTTCCTTGACCCAGTCACTCCGGGGCTCTGATATCATCCTCTGAGTGCGTCACACGATTTCAGGACCCTCTGGGGTTTCCATCCTGGTGGGTTCTCTTCAGTTAGCCAGCCAGTCAAGAATCCTAAGAGACATGACACACCCTTCTGCAACACTTCATGGAGAATGTCTTTCACATGCGCTACGTCACTTATTCCACAGCAAACGTAGCACGGCCTTTTACACCAAGCCAAAGCAAATATTCAGAATCTATCTGCCAACAAGGAGTTGTATGCATGCATTTATGAATTTGTCCTTTAACAAATGTGGGTGGAGGGCTCACTTTTTTGTTAGGCACTGTGCTAGTTTTTGGTAATACGACCATAACAGCACAAACGTACTTCCTGCCTCAAGGTTATATGCTAATGGACACATGCAGACTAGAAAACAGGAAGTACAAGAGGGAAGTGTTTTAAATGCTATGATGAGGGGGCTCAGGAGGGGACTCAGGATGCGATGAGGGTGCCCAAACGAATAATTCACACCTGGTAGATCAGGGTAGACTTCCTAGAAGAAGCAATTTCTAAACTGAGACCTGAGGCACAGACTGCAGAGAACCAAGTGAAAAGAAGGGAGGCTTATCCTACGCTAAAGCCAGGAGGAAAGAAGGAATCTGGCGTTATGGCCCAGAGAAGAGAAAGATGCCACCCAAAACAAGGATGCTTGAAAGTGTGAGTTAGGTAAACTATACATACCAGTCAGTTACATTAAAAGTAGTGAAACTTACTTGAATTGGACCATTTTGTCCTCTTATCATGCTGTTACTACTAGGGCTTCTCCAAGATCAGAGCACACAGGAGGAGTCTGTGTACTGCCCAAAATCAACCAGCCAAGGACACAAGCCTGGACCCAAATCCAATCCTTGTTCCACTGGCCAAGCGTGGTATAGGTTGGCTTCTGATCAGTTGCAACAAGTAGGTCTGCAGTGGCTTTGGACTCAACTGCAAATGGCTTTAGCCTGTCCAGCAAGCTACAAACACTGCTCTTAGAAGGTGCTACAGCCATCAAGGTAAAGCCTGTTAGAAAAGGCAAATCTCCCTTTTAAAACCAGGCAGCTGGCATAGCCGAGATCCACTTTATAAATGAAGTTGCCTGTGATAACAGGAAACCAGCCCATCCTCTGGGATGGCTGAACAGTACAAGACTTGTTATTTCTTAAATCTGAAATAAACTCAAAAGGAGAATCAGTCTAATGAATGCCTGTCTCCAGAGCTTGGGTGATCATGACAGGTGGTGGGCCTCCTGCAGTTATAGCTTCAATGCCATCTTTTAGTCGTTTGTTCAAGTTCAGTTGTTTCAGTAGTTTGTTCGAGTTGAAGTTCTTCCAGGCAACCTAAATTCACTCACCCTATTTTCCACACTCACTTGTGGTAGTTCTCTCCTCTTAAATGATCAACCATCTACCACGATTTCGCAGTTCCATATTTTACTTAGAAAGAGACTGAAGATAGATATTTAGAGAGTTCACCTAATTAGGCCACACTAAACTGAAACTCCAATCTGAAAATAACGAAATGGATTATTCTTGCCATTCAGAAGACACCAAAAGGTTATAACTCAAAAAGTATAAGTTCACTGCAACTCATTCAGATTGCAAATGGAAGTCTCTAACAAACATGGTATCAATGAACCCTGAATTAGAAAAGTGTGATTTTTGCTTGTTGGTTTGTGATAACGATGCCATCAGCTCACTCAGACTACAGTTCTACATAAAGAGATATCTCCAAACTGGTGGGTGTGTGAGGCATGGTAGGGGCAGTGAGAGAGGTAGAGTCAACAGTCCTCCATACGTTTTCTTATGTTACTGTTTCCGGTCAGAATTCAAGTGTTTTTATATGGCACCTTAAATCAATAAAAACATCCTGTCTGTCTGTCCCTCCACATCTATTTCCCCATCCAACAGAGAAGGTGACTTACACGCTCATACTACTTTGACATCCAAATTGTGAAAATTCATCATTCAGCATATAAGTTGTAAGTGTCCCAGAATTAAATCTATTATACCCACTTACAACATATAAAATAGGGTTTTATGATCTAAGAACCGTTGGTCAAAATAAAACCTACCAGATCACAAGCAGGGGATTTTTTTTTTTTTTTAAACAGCCAAAATGAGCCGGGCTCTGTGGCTCAGCCTGTAATCCCGCACTTTGGGAGACTGAGGTGAGTGTATTGCATGAGCCTACAGGTTCGAGACCCGCCTGGGCAACTTGGCGAGACCTCATCTCTACAATAAATCCAAAAATTAGCTGGGCGTGGTAACACAACATATAAAATAGGGTTTTATATGTTGCACCTGTAGTTCCAGCTACTTGGAAGGCTGAGGTGGAAGGATCGCCAGAGCCCAGCAGGTCGAGGCTGAGGTGGCCGGAGCGTGCCACTGCACTCCAGTCTGGGCAACAGAGTGAGACACCAACTCAAAAATAAAATAAAATAAAATATCTAAAACGAATGGGAGCGATGCCAAGAGAGCTCTGGCCAGGATATACAATTGGACAAATGCAATACAACACACATCTTCAAAAAAAATCCTTGAAGATTCCTAAAGCAACAAGGTGTGTATCTTATTACATAAAAGTTATTTCTTATGTCTGCTTAGTAACTTCTCAATTCATTTAAAAGGAGCAATGAGTTCAGAGAACCAAGATGCCACAACAGACTGTTTCCAACGTCTCATGGGTCCATGAGACTGGATGGGTATTTCTGACTCGGTCTTCAAAACAGACTTTCCTGCTGTCTATTTCTTCAGATTCTTACTCCTAACTAATAAGAAATCAAGTGTGGAGACTATTGTGCAGACTTGGGAGCCAGAGGGCCAGGCGCTGAATCTTGGCTTCCCTACTAAGTTGGTCATAGGTAACTTTCTTCTTTTGTCTCAAGTTCTCTACCTATAAAATGGGAACCAAATACTATCTATTTCACAGTTATAGCAAAGTGCTTAGAATTGCATGGACACATAATATGCTCTATAAAATTTTGATATTTCTATTGAACATGTGTTTATGTATACATATTAAATTTATATTTTTTGGGAGGCTGAGGTGAGAGGATTGCCTGAACCTACTGGTTTGAGACCAGCCCAGGCAACTTCACAAGACCTCATCTCTACAATAAATCAAAATATAAGCTGGGCATGGTAGCATGTGCCTGATAGCGTGCGCCTGCAGTTTCGGCTATTTGGAAGGCTGAGGTGGAAGGATCACCTGAGCCCAGCAGGTTGATGTGGGGGTGGCCATGAATGTGCCACTGGGCAACACAGTGAGACTCTGATTTAAAAAAAAAAAAAAAAATATATATATATAGATACACACACACACACACACACACATACACATATATATATTTGCAGAATTTTTTCATTACCATGTTTAAAGTGACAGCATCCATTTGGGTAGGACTGGGGAGGTTTCCGTAATTCAAATAAATTTATAAGGAAAGTGCAAATCTCCCAGCAGAGAAGCAAAGAACATAAACAGGCAATTTACATAAGGGACAAAATGATTAAACAAACATAGGGGAAGGTTTCTCTCAACAGCAAAGTATAAATTAAAACAAAAGAGTCAGTTGTTCCTATTCAATTAGCAAAGTATTTAAGATATGACTCCTACTACCACCAAGGTTATGATTCAAAAGAGGTCTGGTTATATGTTACTGGTAGCTATGTACGTGGATATTATTCTTTAATAAAGAAAATGGCTTTATATATCGAAAGCAATAAAAACATTCATCCTCTTTGACCCAATCATTTCACTAGGTATCCAAAAGCAATAAAATCAGAGAGAGTAGAAAGCCAAATGCATAAATATGTACATCATAGCACTTTTTGTAACAACAAAGTATTGAAAATATTCAACTTTGGGACATAAAGTATAATGATACATCATAATACCATTAAAAGTATAATTAGAATATCATGTAGGAACATGGAAAAACATTTTATAAACTGTTAAATGAAAGGCAATAGTACAAATGCTATTTAGGCTGTGGTTACTGCTAGCAAAATTATTTATACAACTAGACAAAGGCTGGAAGGAAATAGGGATGATAAAAATAGATACACTTTGGTTGAGACAATTTCCATTTGTTTCCCTTACTGTTATAAACGTTGCTCATGCGATACACATAGGTGCCACTTTCGCTATTTGTTTTGCCCACCTGCCCTTAAATTCTCACGAAATGAATTTCCTGGGCCTTGGGGGTGGGGATAAAGAGGGGATGTGCTCTCCATTTGGGAAGTATCATTCTGCAACATCCTTTGTACAGGGACAGATGGAGAAGGCTTGGTGCAAAGCCCAGGTGCCTGCTCAGGTGGTGGATGTTACATGTTTGGCAGAGTCTGGAAAGATCAGAGACACTAGTCGAGACCTGCCTTGGGGCCTGAGACCACCCCAAAGAGGCATTCTTGAAGTGTCAGGTACTACACGTTCTTCTAAACCCCATGTAGAACTTAAATGATGGCACATAGTTCTTATGACAAGTGGGGGGGGAGGATAAGTTAAACGTGCTTTAAAATCTTCTCGGAGGAATGATTTCCTAAGCATCCTTCCCATGACCCTTTGTAGGAAACATAGACCAGCCAGGGCCACCCTGCTAAGGGGAAGCAAACTTATGCTAATGGCTACATTTTCATTCCAGGACTACCTCAACTAGAGATGGAGTTTGTCAAGCGGATTTTTTTTTTTTTGTCAAGCAGGTATAACACAGCGTAGCTTCTTCCTTGTCTCCAGCAAGTGTCTGTTCCTTTAATAAGAGGGAGGTGAGCACATGGCAACTGAATGTCTGTTATTAAGCTGCTATTTTGGGGGGTGGGTAGGGGAAGATTCAATTCATTTACAGCTCATTTATTTTCATTCTCCCTGCCTGGAGCCAGTCGTTCCAATTAAAACGCAGGGGGAGAA